GAATTTTGTATTCATTATCTTTGATTTATTATGACAGACTAGGTAGAGTGAGGTTTTTCACGTTCTTTATATTTGCTCCAATAAAATGGATATAATTTCTTTCAAAATGAACAGGCAAAAGATTTGCCTTTTGTATTGTGTCCTCTGAAGGAAGAACCACGCAAAGATCCTTTTTGAAGAATCCTAGTCACAATGGATCTGTTTTCATTTACAGTGCTATTTACATGAATGAAGTGTATGTTCTCAATTATCTCATCTTAGAATTCTAGATGGATTAGCTTTTGTTTTGTTTCGTTTTGTTTTTCTTCCTGAAACTGTTTGTGTCTGTGGTAGCTTTGGACCTTTTATCACCATTTTTGTTTACTTTATAAGAAGCTATTGTGTTTTTAGCAAATGTGTTATCATGTCGTTACTTAAGTGAAAAAAAAAAAATTAGGTATTGTTGAGAATTTAAACTGTGTAGAATCACAGTTGATATCAACTGTGTAGAACTGTACTAGGTTTTCATATTTCTCACAGTAGCTAATTTTGAGAATGCTAAGTACATATGGGAGAGAATGGATTAGTCTGGCTTTATTGGTTGATAGAATATGGCTCCTGGTAAACTTTTGATTCTCTGTAAAAGATTCTTTTTGCAGCATCACAATTGTGTAATACGGATTCCCACTGGTGTATTAAACCAGTTTCATCTCTGATACATGATACCAATGACAACTATTACTTAACAGAAATGTTAGTTCTCCTGAATGCTTATCAACGATAAAAATTTCTAAATTCATGAATCATGGTTTTCAGTCTTGTAAAGGAATTTCTAAATTTAGTTTTTAAAGCATGGGAAGAAAAAAAAAAAAAAGGAAATCGTAATAATTTAGCTGAATACTGTATTAATTTTGAGGTTCTTCATAAACAAAAGGTGTTGACCCAAAATTACTAATACAGTATTTTCCTATCAATTCACTTTAGCTCAAAGCAAAAGATATCCAGTATCTTGGCTTTACTTGAACTCAGTGCATGGAAAAAAATAGGTGGTACATAGGGAGGGAATGGTTATTGGAACAAACAGAGGAAGTTATAAATCTTCAAATCATATACAGGACAGATTGAAACAGTATAAGATCTCTAGTTTTCTTAAATAATGTACCTAATAACTCTCTCTGGGCAATAGGAAATCTGTTTTCAATTTCTTCTGCTTCTAAGCAAAAAAATAATTGATGTTAAAAGGAGTTTTTTTGGGGCAGAGTTTTCAACCAAAAATTAATGCAACTATCGCATCAGAAAATATTGTTTGAAACCCAGGAGTTTTTGTTGTAATCATTGCTCAGGACACTGTCTTGTGCTATGTAAGAACAGCAAAGAAATTAATAGAACATGTCCAGCCCCAAATCAGAGTGCTAAAATGAAACCATGGTGCAGATGCCTTCTGACACTTCCTAAAAAATCAGTCTTGAAGTTCAAATGCAAGAGTATGACAGCCAAATATTTTATTTTCGCTGGAGCAGATTGCTATGAAACCCCTACTGAAAGAGAATCATAACAGGATTGAATTATTGTACCAAATGCATCTGCTTTTAGTAGGAGGTTTTTGGAGTAGAAAACCTCTGGAGGTCTTTTCCAACCTGAATTATCATGTAATCTTACAATCCCATGAAAATTTCTTTTTCAATAGAGTAATTTGGGTTGCACACTTTTTCTGGCTTGTAGTTTTTCTCTTCAGTTTACCCAGTTTTTAAAATGTGGATTCTAATTAAAGACAGAAAAGAACCATATGAAGTGAAATCTCCCTGTAAGGAAGTAAATTTTCTGCACAAGAATGCAGTGTAGCGCAAGAGCGTTCAGGAAGAGACACTGCTAAAGCTAACAGCACAGGATCTGTACAAAGCAGTTGCCTACAAGAATAAATTATTTGTTATGAAAAATAATGCATCAACTATGCAAATGGAAGTTTCAATTTCTTAATTAGAAATAGATGGAGGCATATGAAGAAAATAATACACATAGTTTAAAATGAGTCATCTTAGAGAATGTGTATGGGCAGTATAAGGAATACAAATTAATATTTTTGGCTGCTATTTATCATTTTCTTGGGCCTTTGCATTTTTTGATGTTAGGTGGGTTTGCACTCAGGGAAAGTGCTGAGTACCACTAGACAGCTAGAACTTCCCAGTATGTTAGTGTAACATAGCGTACCAAACAGTCTGTTCAGAATTTAGATCTAGTAAATTACTGAGGTTTTAAACATCTCTTCGTAATCTGAAGTTTCATGAGTTTTTTCCATTTACATTGATCTGCTGGATGGAGATTCATCCATTTGGTGTGGGATGGTGAATCTTACTGTTTGAAATCATATTTTACCCTTCTGTGTTGAAGGTTATTATCCTGATCTAACTGTGAGTGCAATGACACATGCACATACAGTGCTGGCAGCTCAGGTAATTGACCACTAGAGAAACTGAGGAAGAGTGCTTCTGAAGGGGGGAATATAAGCATGGTTTTATCCAGTAGAGAGTCTGCTGCAAACTCTGCCAACCTGCAAAGATATCAGAGAAAAGACTCTTAACCAAACCCCTTGCACCAAAAGAGGATGAGCTAATATATTTTATGTCTTGTTTTCTGACATTGTGCTTACCACCTCATAAAACAGGCAAGATTTAAGTCAGGGATTTTTGTGTTTTTAAGTGGTTACAGTCTTAGAACTCAGTGCTCTTTACACTTACTGCATCAAAAACTTAGGTTAAAATGGAGCAAAATCTTACTGAAGCCAAAGCAGACACTCTGGATAGCTAGTTTGGCAATAGAAGTTCATAGTATTGAGTCCTATGTTAAATACAAACCAGCATGATCAGAGTCTCGTATAACTATATATACCTTCCCTGTTAAAAAGAATGAAACTATTGAGGTTTTTGACTGTTGCTGTTTCTAAAATTACATGAGTTGTGGTGCTGTCACTAGGAACTCCTCACGCAAAATGAGTGTTTGAGTTTATATTTCTAAACAAAGATTTAAAACTCTGTGCTACGCTATTGTTGTGGTTTGAGCCTGGTCAGCAGCTAAACGCACCGCAGCCGCTCACCCACCCTCCCCCCACTTGGGAATGGGGAGGGAATCGGAGGGGCAAAGGGAGACTCGCAGGTTGAGATAAAAACAGTTTAATAACGGTAACAGAATAACACGGTGACAGCAGTATCAACGGGTAACGTACAATACAGCTGCTCACCACCCACCTGCTCCCTGCCGGCAATCCAGAACACAAAGGCCCCGCAGCCACACTCCCAGAAGTGAGAGCCTCTCCCAGCCCTCTCCTGCCTTTATATGGTGAGCATAATGTCACATGACATGGGATATCAGCCAATCGGGGCCCAGCCCTCCAGCTGTGCTCCCCCCACCCCCGCACACAGGTGAGGGCACTGGGACCTGGGGAGCCCCTGGGGTCTCTGTGCTGCAGCACTCCTCCCGCTGCCGAACCAACAGGAACTCTAGTCCAGCCCCAACCAGGACAGCTATTTGTAAAGGGGTACTAGTAGAACAGTATCATAAGGCGTGCTGGAGTGGAATAATATTTTCTTGTGTTTTGCATTTCTAGTCACCATCTGAACCACTGCAAAAGTAACAGTACATGATGGTGATATTGTTCACTGTATGATGCATATTACTGATTTATTCTTTGTTCTGCATAATTATCCCTTTTCCAATGAGTTCCTATGCACTTTTCACACACATTTCATCAAGCATCAAATAATGAAGCAAGAACAGACTTCTATTATAACCCATTGCATAACTAATCATTGCTGCTACCTATTATTTGTTGTTTCCAGCCAATGAGGTTTCTGTGTTACTGAGTTTTCCTCAGAAGAATTATGAAGTAGGTGAGACTTGGGTAGTCTACCTCTTACCCTTGAAATTTGCTTCACATTTGGCACTTCAAGTGCCAAATAAGTTTGCGAAATTGTGTGTTTGTAGCGTTTGTGTATAGACTATATGAGTGTAATGAAGTTGACTTTCTGTTGGTTCAGGAATTGTATCTGTACCACTTTGTCCCTCTTCCTGACTTCTGTGGGTAGTGTGGTTATTGGAAGCGTTAGCAATAGGCATATCAAAATCACCATCTGTCTTAAAACTGTGGTAATAATGGAAGCTGGGGTTAAGTTTATTCCATGGAGGAAATTGTGAAACATAGGATATCCTAATCACAAATTTTTGGACTCTGCTTTACAATAATAAAGGAGCAAAGATCCCTTAATTTAGGAAGAATGCAATTTCCTAGGCCTTTCCTTCAGCCTCTCAGAATTTAAGCTGTAGAATTAAAGCATATATATGTAGGTATATATTGTGCTTCCGTCTTACATGATCAGATAGATTTAGTGATGGAAACGTGGAGCAGTAGAAACCTTTGTGACATCACAGTCTGTGCAGACTTTGATTTCCTAAGCAATCTGTTGCAATGATGCAATAGTAATGGTTTCTTATTGTAAAGTGCTTTTCTTGTAGGAGTTCTGGTAGGAATTTTTTTACTGCTTATGGCCTATAATTGGTGAGCTTTGCACTGCCTTCATTGGCATAAGCGATTTCAACCATGCAAAAATATCAAATTGTTTTGGGGAGATTTGCTGTCTCATTATGTCATAAACCAAAAATTTAAACAGTAAATCTCAGTAGAAGAGATGAAGATGTGGAGAAGGATGTGTAAAATAAAGAAATATGACTCTGAAGGGTACTGGTTTAATGCAGTATATAGACATATATATAAACAACTTGGTAATACAACTTGGCCAGATGGTTTATTAATAGTGGTCTTTGCAGGTGAGAGTGTATATGTATTTGCAATTGCAGTCACCTTTTGGAACCAATATTTTCCTTCTCTGACTTCATGGAATGGGATCTAGAGGAGCATCAAGAAGAGACTAATACTTGTTTTTGGCCAATAAATTATAATTTCCTTCTCTGCTTTCTTTCTTGCTTGCTTTACCTTCTTTTCAAGATTAACTCTGATTTTTCTGTAACAGGCACATAGTTGTCTGTGGTCACATAACACTTGAAAGTGTATCCAACTTCCTGAAGGACTTCCTGCACAAGGATAGGGATGATGTCAACGTCGAAATCGTCTTTCTGCATAAGTGAGTAATCTTTCAAGATTAGTCTTATCATCTGTTACTAAAACTCATTAAATTAATCCGTATCTTTTGGGGCAAGACAGAGGATATTTCAAGCTTAAAATAATAATAAAATTAATGTTTGCAATTATTTTTTTTTAACAATGTATATTGAAAAACACTGTTTTCTGCAATTTTTTGTAATCCATCACTAAGTATAGGTATTTCAAGAAGACAGACTTCAGACCCAGTCATGTTAATTATGAGCTATATAGATAAACACATAGTTGAAGTGGGAATGGAATTATGAAATAAAAAATATTTAATTACTAATAAATAGATGTGAGAATTTTCTTTAGTGGCAAATTGTTCTAGTGAAGCTACCAAAATTGGTAAAATCAGTAAAATTAATGAAAAACACTGTATGTCACATGAACTTATGCCATCTGAAAAGACATTAGGATAAAGTGCTTATTTCATATTGCAAAATATTTATAAAAAGAAAAATGTAGGTGCAGATTTAGTTTAAATATAAATGAGATACATCACTTTACAGATCCAGTGAAGGTGGAAAAGAAATTCTTGCCACTGTGATAATTAGTACAACTTTTTTACCCGTATATAAATACCTACAGACACATAGTCTCTTTCATTTTTCTGTTGGGGGGGTATTTGGAAATGTGTCTTAAGGCAGTTGCTGTTTGTTTCAGGCTCTGCATTACATGTAATAGAACATCAAATAGGCATACCTATGGGAGAAGCTGCTAGAATTAGCTATGTGATAGAGAGAGAGACAGTATGAAAGGTTTTTTCTGCTCTGGAATGGCATCCATTTACAAGCATAGCAACCTATGAATGAGTCATATTTTTGCATTTAGCAGCAAGTTCTGTACTTTTCTTCTTGTCAAAGAAAATTATTAAAAAGTTAGAGAATCATTTATGATGATTGAATAAAGGAAGCTGAAAAACTAAGAATCAGCAACACTTGAAAAATTTTTTTTATCTAGTCCTTTCAAATTGAACTAGAGATGATATCCTCAAGTCACTGTATTGTTTGATTGTTTCCTTTCTCTAAGTAATAACTAGAATTGATTGTGAGAGGAAAGTGGAGATCCACATTTCCCCAGTGAAAATCCATGGTGTTAGGAATCAGGAAACTGCATATGCACATGGTGGGGCTATTTGTTTGTGCCTGCTTCTCTGTACCTTCACAGGCAAATATTTGCATGTATCTGTTTTCTTACTAGATTTAGCATCTGGCTTGACAAATATCTCATGTACTTACTATGTAGCTATTCAACCCCTTCTGTTGTAAGGAGTGGCATCAAAAAAAGTATTTACAATGTTGGTGCCACATTATATAATAGATTGTGATCCATTTAATTATTTTTTTTTTTATTACGGCAAAATGAAATGAGACAGAAAATCACAGCATAATTATGTGTGGTTTAATTGTGGCTTGTACGGGCCACAGGGTCCCTGTAGGGTTCCTTTTCCAGCTTTTAGTGATTTTGCATTTAGCTCTTTTATTTGATGCAATCGGCTGTTTTGAGAATGGTGGGAACATGCAGAGGATGATTCTCTTGCTAGATAATTTCTGTGGGGAATGCTGTGTGAGGATGTTTTCAGATATTTATACCAATTTTTCTGGATTGATGTCTGTGAGAAACAGACAAATGGTGAATGTACAGAGTAGCACAGTGAAGTGGGCTAGAAGCACTGTAGACAGAAGTAAGGAAGTGAAAGCAATATAGCATTTGTCTTCTAAGTACTACACACTCTTTCCACACCACAGGAAAAGCATGAGCAGAAGTCTGAATACCTATAATAAGTAAATGGCTTGCTTCATAAATTAAGGAAGTGGGGCAGTTATGGAAACTGACTTCTTATTTGCACTTGTGTTTTCTTCCTCTTCCCTATACAGTATCTCCCCTAACCTTGAGCTGGAAGCTCTTTTTAAACGACACTTCACTCAGGTGGAATTTTATCAGGGTTCAGTCCTTAATCCCCATGACCTGGCAAGAGTGAAGGTAACAGCTCTGTTCTGTTCTCCTGCTAATTGACTTTTTTTAAAGTACTCATTGCATTATTTGGAAGAAGTAGTAAAGCTCTTCCTCAAGTAACCCCAAAAGATTGTTTTTCCATCTCTATTAGCTTGCCTAATAAATTATAATGGCTATCCATATAAAACTTGTTTTCCCTGTATCTTTAGATCTTCAAACCTACAGTAACACGGTCACTTACGATACATTGTCTGCCATTCAATTGAACTCTTTATGAATTTTTCATTGGGGTTTAGTTCAAGAGTCTATTTTACATTAATGTTTAATATAATAGAACGTTGTCTTACAGTAATTACTTAAAATGCTATTGTTTTACCCTCATCAGAACAATTAGAAAATAATTTTTCACTTGTCAAACCCTCTTTCTATTGTCTATAATCCTGGAAAAAAAATACATTTTAAGATTTTATGACACTTAAATATATAAAGAAAAAAATGGCAAGCTACTGGATAAGCATTAACTCTTTTAACTCTTTTATGTTTTTTGTTTTTTTTTTTTTTTTTTTTTTTTAATTAATGTAATGTAAAGTGGCTGCTGAAGCCAAGAATATTTCAGTGCAATGTTAACACTTTCTGGAGTACTAATCATGTCTTTCGTCCATTTTGGCTGCAGAAATTGCTTAACCTTTTGTAGCCCAACACACACTGTTTCAGTTCATCAGAAAAAAATGTTCTAATTATGACCATAAAATTGTGCATTGGTATTTTGTGTTCTCTATTGTACCCTTCTTTGTGTTGGTATTTTGTTGTATACTCTGAAAAATACTTTTGTCATCTGCTTTAAGTTAGAGCTAACATTTGTGTGAACATAGAGGTGCTGTGAACAGATCAGTTCTTTTCATGCTTTCTAAAACTGGTGCTCAGATTCTAAATCATCAGTTCAGCCGCCTCTTCCCAAACAAAGCTGCAGGACTTGTGGGATCACTGTACTGATATAACAGGAATTTCTTATGGCTTTAAGGGTCTAAATTTCAGTATCTGCTTACAAAGGATATGTCCATTAACACCATCATGCCTCAGCATGCTCAACCTCAGTGTAAGAGTCAGTAATTGAACTACTGACCTGGTCTGATCATCATAAGCAAGTTTCAATAAATTGCTATGTGTATATGAGAGCTGTTATAATCACTTATGTTAACTTGCATTAGCAGTATTAAGAACTGATGTTCACACTCATGATGGCAGTGTTGGATTCCCTAATACTTTATGATGAAAGAAGGGCTGGAAAGAGACATTGCTATTTATGTTTGGTTTTTCTTCGGTGTCTCAGATAGAGTCAGCAGATGCGTGCCTAATCCTTGCCAATAAATACTGCGCTGACCCAGATGCTGAAGATGCCTCCAATATTATGAGGTAAACTCATTAGTTTTTAATAGGTTTTTGGTTCTTAACTCTGATTAACTTCTGGTGTCCATATAGGCTATAGCCACATGCAGCTTTGTTGCTGATGTGTTGCACTCGAAGAACATTGCAGGATTCTTTTTTTTTTACAGGACAAATTAAAAAATTGTCTCAAAAGTTCAAACATGAGGATACCCTAAATACCTACCTAAACAAGTTTAATTTACCTACTTTAGAAAGAGTGTGTCAGAAGAGACACTTGGAGCACAAGCTTTGGTACTCTTAGTCATTTTGCAAGACCTAGGCTTTAAGTGTTCTTGGCTGAATGCAGTCCGAATAGAAATGAGGGGAAAGGGAATGCAGTTATGATGCTGCAATAGCATGTTACCTGGGTGCATGTACTACATGGCCTGCTGTTAACAATGGGACAGAAGGACCCTTAATAACTTAATGCCTGATGGTTCCTTGGTATATCTGCTCCTACAAGTAACTGTGCTGCTCGGGGGGGATAGTAAGCTGTACATGTCATGATAGTAATGATCTCCTAGCTCCAGTCTCCTTTTTTACATTGAGGACCAAATGTTGCTTATTTTGATTGGCCAAGGCACTTACCAGATTAGCGACCACCAGATTTTGTCCTGCTTTCCTCCTTATATTCTCTGAAGGAAGGCTATGAAAGAGTCAGTCAGTAGATGGCAGCTAGAGTTACAAGAAAACTAAGCCATTCAATTTTTTTGTGTTTTGTTCAAAAAACCTTTGTTTAAATGAGATCAGTCTCTCCATTTAAAAACTAAAATGTCAATGATCTGTTAAAAATTCTCAAACACAGAACTGCCCAGTGTTATGAACCAATTTTACTGGCCCGTCAGATGTTTGTACACTGTGAATTGAAGTCAGAGGAGAAATAATAATTAAAAAAAATAATAAAATTGTTCACTGTGCACAAGGGATCTGGCTGTCTGTGTAAGGTGCAGGGCTTAACTATGCCTAATTTAATTTTCCAAACATGATTTTGAGTTGCAATGCAAGAAACTTTGTTTTGACATTAATTCCATAAATACATTAAAAATATTCCAGTTGCAGATTAGCGCATTGTTAATAGATTTAATACATTTAATGTAATAAAATGCAAAAGTGTTATTTTGAGACTGGAATTCTCCTGTGTTTTCTCACTTTTAAATGAATTTAATTCAGCAAGAAATGGAAAATTAGACGGAAGACTCATTTTCTCTTTCCAAAAGATAACATAAAGTCATGCATACAAATTTTTGTTTTATGGCCTAGCTTTGATATGATTCAAAGCACAATCCAGACCAGAAGCTGCAAGATAATTCCTACAGTACTCCAGTGTAAACAGTTATGGCATTGAGTGTTATGAGACTGACATTTCCATAACAGTTCAGGTTAATTTTTTTTGGTTGCTTTATCTTCTTTTTCTACCCTTAGTTTGTATATACAGAACTGATTTTTTTGGCCTTTTTTCTATTTACTTTGGCTCAATTTTTTTTTTTCATTTTTAAATTGTATATTCCTCTCTTCATAACGTGTTATCAATCCACTAATTTTTCAAAAATTTTTCTTTTCAGCCACTTCTTACCTGTACACAGTTGAGTATATTTTAGGCTTACTAAATAATTAAGAATGCAAGCAAGTTGCAGATTATGAAAATAGCTCCATATTTTATAAATTCAGCATTCAGATAACAGTTTCAGTATTGAGCTTTGGAATAATCCATAAAAATTAAGAAGAATTTGCATGTGGATTTATGTCTAACAACTATAAATAAATATGTGGGGCAGAAATGTCTGATTTTCAGACATTTATCACTGATCAAAAACGTGATCAATTATGTTGATTCAAAGACATGAAGATAATCACTGAAGATGACATAATAATTGCAGGTATATTATTTGCCTAATAGATTTAGTACAATATCTGAACAGAGTTGCTAAAAGAAATCTTTTTTCCTGCAAATTCCATAAGAGCAAACCATTCAACTGAATAATTCCTGAAGCTTAATGTTCTCTAGTATTAGCTGATGGTTATTAACTGAATTTCACTAAGTATAAATATTACATAGGTCTGACTTCAATCAGTTTTCTTTACAGCCAGATGAATAAGAGGGTACGGTTTTAATTCTGGGATTTGACAACACAGTGAAGTAGAGGTATTGGGATACATTATCCAAATATCCTACCAGCTAAAAGTTATTTTAATTGTTTTTTATTTTATTTTTAGAGTTATTTCAATAAAGAATTATCATCCGAAGATAAGAATTATCACTCAGATGTTGCAGTATCACAATAAGGTAACATGACGACCAAGAGTGTCTCTCCCCAAAGTTTTTCTTGCTACATTGCATTCACTCATACACAGTTTTTCTAGCTCTACTAATAGTAAGCATTTTTCTTTCCAAACAAAAACATCTTAATAAACCTTGTCATGTTAATCAAGTTACAAGGTAATCAGTTTTATTTATCTGTGCAAGGGATCTTATAAAAATCCTGACATTTATTAATTGCCTCAGGTCTAATTCTCAAAGCTACAATGTCCATAGTTGCTATTGATTCCAGATGAATGGGTAGCCTCTAGGCAAGTCATTTGAAGTCAGTTCTTTGTGGATACTTTTTTTTTTTAAAAAAAAAAAAAAGCATAATATTATTGTCTTATTGGAGATTTATTGTGATTTTTTTGTTTCTTGCATGACAATTTAGACCTGAAAGTGCCAAGTAGCAGGTAGAAAATAAATAAAAGTAAGTGGTTTTTCATATAAAACATAATTCAGTTGCTAAAAATATTGTGGAGATCAAAATTATAAATCCAGTTTGGAAAGGAATTTGGCAAACTTTTGATGGTAAATCTGTGGCCTTTAAACACAGTGAAGTCGATTCATTCAATCCTGGGATGAGGAAGTCCATAAACTACTGATTAACAGAGCTAGGAAGAATATATCAGAGGACAGAGTACTCATATGTGACCTGCTTCTTTTATTATTTCTAAAAGCATGTAAAACATCAAACACTGCCAGTGTTTGAGAATAAGCTTGGGTAAAACTTCATTCAGTGAAATAGACAATAAACCTGGTACTTAGAAGGTTTGACTGCTAGCAAGTAGCAACTCCTTACACCTGTAACCTTTGGCTAGAAAAAGAGCAATTACTGTTGCTTGTGATGCCTTCTACCTGTATGTGAATGAAAGGAGCCTGTCTTTTTATAGTATAAAAGCAAGCTATCTCTTCTTTATACAAGTTCAGAAAGGAAGATCTTCTAAATACTGCATTTTTCCTTTATATTTCAAATTAATTTGTTCTCAAGAGTATCTGTTATCAAAGTGCTGAACTGTGGTAGTAACTTATGAAGGGAAACAAGCATGAAAGCGTCTGTGTTTCCTTATGCCTATGGAAGTGCACAATGTAGATGGAAAAGAGAATCTGATAGAGCTATGCCAGTAACTGAACAATTTGAATGCCCATCTAACTGACCAGTGTCAACACTGGAGGTGTATCTTGATCAGCTGTATTCTTGATTCTATCCTTATAAATAGCAGTCTTAAGAAATAGTTTGGATTTTCACTAATCAAGTGCTGTCCTTCAGGGTGGGAGGAATGAAATAGAAAAGACAGATGTTATATATACACCTTATTAAATGACAGTGTCCTATAAAGGTTGCAGCTTCACATGAGTTGTAATCTAAGTTTATATTAGATTCCTGTATATTATGTCTGTACCTTATCAGAGAGTAGCTCAAAGTGCTGTAAAAGGAATATACAAAAGGGAAAGAAAACTTTACAACATTCTATGGGTCATTCAGGTGTGAGGAAAGGCCTGGCAGAGTGTCACAGCCAGAATACGTCTTGGGAAATATAAGATTTTGTCTATAATAGGTGAGATTGGAACATTTCTTAGCATAGAATTAAATTCTAAAATACTTGGAGTGCTTCTGCCTACTCAAAAAAAGTCAAGCCAGTAACAAAGAAAATAATTCACTGCTATCTCCTTCAATACTGTACTTTATTTAAGGAAATATTTCTGGTTCTTCACCTATGAGATACTTTGTTTGTTTGTTTGTTTCCCAGGCCCATCTGCTAAATATCCCAAGCTGGAACTGGAAAGAAGGGGATGATGCAATATGTCTTGCTGAGCTCAAGCTGGGTTTCATAGCCCAGAGCTGCCTGGCACCAGGCCTTTCAACAATGTTAGCCAACCTATTCTCTATGAGGTCATTCATAAAGGTAATGTCTTGTCTCATTATAATGTGTTAGTCTGCAATTTCGTTTGTCAGAGAGTTGAGTAGAGAACATGACTCAAATATGAAACAGATAGGAACATGTTAACAGGTTTTTGTAAGACAAAAAAATACCAGTGCACATTTCTGTACAAAAGTTCTCTGATACGAATTGGGCAATGAGCCAGGTTCTATCAATTCATGTTTTTATTTTTATTCAGCAAGTGTTTGGCCTTTAAATATTTTTCAAAGCATCACCTATTTCTAGGGAGATAGTTTTGGTGTTTTGCTTTGTTTTAGACAAACCACATGTTCTATGAGAAAAGCCCCTGCTGTTAAAACAAAAATATGATTTATATATGTCCCATATAGCAACAAAATGCCTAGAAATAGGCACTTTGTTTTTTACATCAAGTGGCTAGCGGACTTCTGACTGTGAGAGTAAATAAGGAACATGTGTTGGAACTGAAGCCTGAACTTCCTACAACATCATTGGAGTATTTGTTTGTCCTCAGTCAAAGAGCTCTTTCGGGCTTACGTGGTAAAATTTTACACAGTTATTCCTAGACTTCTACAGCAGCTATACTAGTCCACTTGTCCAAGGCCTTGATTGCAGTAATCAGTGTTTCCTTCCTTGTGCGTTTTTTGGACACGGATTCCAAATACAAAGGATGGTCAGTTTCCAGTCCCATGACTGTTATTAATGGGATGGGAAACACTGGAGTATGGGGTGGGCCATGGTCCATTTCAAGTCTGTTGTGCAAGTAAGCAAAACCAAAGAGCCTAATGTCCTTAGATGAGAAAGCCAGGACTGTTCTCATAGAGGTGCACATGCCAGAGCAGGACAATGAATCTTTATTTACGCCTTATGAAGTCCTGAAATCCTTATTAAGGTATCTTTTAGAGACAGCAGACTCCTGTGTATCAAAAGTATTCCAGGCTATCGCATATAGTAAAAAAAAATGCCAGTTTTCAATATGAAAACAAGCCTGGGCTCTGCACATTACTGTCTGCAGTTACGATGTTTGCATCTTTGTTCATGTTCTGAAAAAAACATAATAATCTTTTAGTTCAGTAAAGCCAACCTTGGGAACTGTATATGACTCATCAGCATATGATCACTTTTATATTAATCCTTTCTACTTATATCCCAAAGGAAAGCTATATGTCTTAGAAAGTTTATTTTTCTTGTCGGTCATTTTGGTTTCCCTTACTTTTGCCTGCTGTGATAACCTGAGACTCTCAGAAATGTCAGACATTTGTAACAGTCACACTGTTGTATCCAAATTACTGAGGCAATCTGTTCTATGAACTTGATCTTGACATGAGAAATAGGCATTAAACTTTTGCACAACTTCTGTCTTTGCAAAATCAGAAGGGATCAGTTATCTCTCAAGAAGATTCAAATATATGGGTATCTTCAGAAGCCCCAGTCTTAAATCAAGTTATTTTAGTACTGAATTTAAACTTACAGTGAGAAAATGGAGAGATTGAGAAAATGATGAAGTGTGCAAATATCTGATTATGGGGGAACTGTATTAGAAACACACACATTTATGGCCTGGATTTGTAGTTAAAACGTTTAGACAAATAAAAAACTGAAACTGTAAAGGTAGCATCTTTCCAGAAAATGTATCTAACCACCTATACCATTATCTTACCCACCTTCAACCCTATATTTTCTTATTTTTTAAGATATTCGTATAATAATTTCAGTACAGTGACAGATTGGACTGCCTCACTAATTAAATTTTAAGCTGAAGTCTCAGCTCTGCAAGGTACTACTCAGATTACATCTGAATATTTCAATATGCACAGAATAAGCTTAAGAACAGCAATGAATTTGATTTGGAGGAAGCTATCTATGTCAGTTTTGCTCTTGTATCTCTGATTATATACAGTTACAAACAGAATAGTTTGCAGACATACCTTAACTTGTGTTACTTCAGATGTCTTCTTCAGATGGCAGTGAGAGAAAAAATGTCATAAAATAGTGCACTGGGACAATGCAAGACTCTGTTAGTACTGGTTAAAAAGATATCTGCCACTTAACTAAGAATGAATTGTCCAGGCAAGTAAAATGCATATAATTTCCAAATATCTCTGAGTATATTAAAATCTAAAGCAAATTTAGCACACAAGAGTTGAGACATATCTCTTCCTGAGAATCCAACTTGATTGGCAACAACAAAAATTTTGTTTGTTTATTTATCTGAAAGGATGTTCTTTCTCCAAGCCATCTCACTCTAAAAACTGTATTTGAAAGAGAAAACTGTTACTGAGTGGTGGCTGTGAATCAACAGTGTATTGCATAAGAGCAACTACATTGATTGGAATTGTTAAAGGGGACGCTATTGAAAAGAAAGGTGTTCATTCCCTAAAAGAACTTCCACTCCTTTTCATGTAGAGCACTGAATTTTAAGTATTGTCAGACCTTCATAAATTCCTTGATCAAATGTTATTAATGAAGTCTCCCACAAACTAGGAGATTGCTAGGAAAATGTACTGAAACTTCTGTATTTTTAAAGAAAGCTTGAAATGTGTGTTTGTTCCTCCTCCTTCATAACGTGATTAGAAATTGATTTAATGTGCCATAAATGTTTGGTCAGTCAGACACAAATGAACATGATTGATGGTGACATTGCACACATTTAACTCATTATGTGTTACTTTACAGCAAAATGATTTGTGTAAACAGTCCGCCTGGTATTTGAGGTAAAACATACTAAGAAACCTCAAAATACTATATTTGTTCCTAATATTTTCCTCTTGGTTTTAGCGATGTAATCTCATATGGAATCTTTTATGTTCTCTTTGGCACCAAACTGAACAAAAAGGAAATCAGCTCAAGAAGATTAATGTTCTGTAAATACTTAAATGGAAAAAGATAGCTTGCACAATCAATGATATGTTAAGGAAAAAAAAAAATTTCACCTGTAAACTGTTTTTCAATAGTTTAATCTTTTTATAGTACATTGTTATATAGTTGTATTAATAAAAGGAATTGTAACTCATTATTTTTGTAGTCTCAGAAAAAGATGGAAATACTATACTGTACTGCAATTTCTGTATTGTTTGGATTAGCAAATGTATACCAGAAGTCTACCCATATGAAAAACATTACAAAAAGTAAGTAAATGGAATAAAAGGCTGAGGTGGTCAAATTTTGTCCCTGTATACAACCATGCAAGCCAATGAGTTAGTATTGTTGAGTAAATTAATAGAATGTGGAATGTGGTCCTTGAGTGTAACACAAGTCCACAGACAAATTAGTTTTGTCTTTGCTCTATTGGTAAGACAGTACACCTCATTCCAGATCTGAAAAATGATCTAGAGCAGTCTCAATTCTCCTCTAAGCTATTTTGAGAGTAGGAATGTTCTGTGGGCACTGTTGGCAGCTGTTGCTCACACCCACACATATTCAATACCCACTTCTCCCACTACATTTCTTTCTAGTCCAGGCTGAAAGAGACATAATAAAGGCACACAGATTTACATCAGTCTGATGCTTACCTACATTGATTAAACACATCATCTAGGCTGCTATTTATTTTTGGCCACCTAGGCAGCCTTGGACTGTTTTAACGTATGAGACTAGGGTATGAACAGTGAATTCCTTCAAATGAAGGAGAACTTTAAAAGTGAGGTGAGGAGGAAATACAACTTCTCAATTTATTGTGAGGTTCTTGAGGAGGCTGCATAATAAACTGATTACCTGATCCTACACACAGGATTTAGCCCAAATGTTAAAGTAGCTTGTTACCAAAGACATTTATTCTCTAAAAGGGCTGCCTGAATGTATTATTTTTAATCATTGAGTCTAGGAATTGAAAACTGTTGTGGTTGAAAACTGTTTGCTATTTAGAAATAGGATCAGTCCTTGTGATGAATATATTTGTCTTGGACTGAAGTCTACCATGGAATGTGTTTTTCAGTCAACCATTCTATTAGATCAACACCAATCTATCTTTTGCATTACGATTGGATATAAGTACTGCCTTGTTTTGTATATATAAGTGTATTGGAAGTAGAGCCTTGTGTGCCTTTGATTTCAAACCCATCAAGGCCAGCATCCAAAGAACGATGAGGTGTCATAATATTTCAAGAATACTTTCTCTGCTTTGACCTACTACAAGACTGCATTAGTATGAACAATGAAAAAGTGCATATATCATTTGAAACTAGAGCTAATCTTAATTAACATATTTGATGTTTTATAAAACATACTCTTTTCATAACAATTTTAAAAAACATTCTTGCATACAGAAAGAACTATGGGAATAGTTGGTTGTGGTTGTAAAATTTTTATACCACTAAAAAGAATTGTTAGCTTTGATTTAAGCAGACAATGTACTTGATTAAAGAGGTAGTTGATAATTTATAATACTTAAGGAAATTCAATTATAAGACTGTAAATCTAAGAATTCACTCTTTGCTGGGAATGCATGAACTGCTTTCAGCCAATTACTTATCTGTCAGATTTTGATATCCATATCTAAAGGCATAATAAAACCAGACATTCACACCAGCAATTTGGGTGAACTGAAAGGGCATTATAGGTGAGCATGAGGAAATGTTTAAAATACGTTGCTTTCAGTGTACAACTTCTTTTCAACTACAAATCAGGAATATTCTGTGTATACTTTCCTTTTATTCTTATCTATGTTGTTAGAAAAATACTCACAGTTCTGTGGAGAAGAGAATTGTAAAATGAAATGTCGGGAAGCCCTGGAAGCGTGCTGAGCCTAGGAGGAAGCAGGAGTTCCCTGTGTTAGATGGAAGTAGATGAAAACAGCTTGGCAAGGGCTCAAAAATTTTCCCCTGTGAAGATGTTATTTTCTAGGTATTTTTTGTAAACCATTTCTCTACATGGCTTTCTGGGCATCTTTGAAGAGAAAATTTTTTCCGTAGTTTAGAAAGGAAATGGGTAACAACTTTCATGTTGTTTATATAACATTTTATTTAATTTTTTTATACAAACCTTACAATTTGGGGAGACCGTTCAGA